CCCAAACCGTGCTAACCGCTCATTCACACTGGAAGCGGATCCGCGTTCGCAAAGCGGTTGCGAACGCGGTTGTATAAAGATCCAGTGCAATTGCACGCGCACTCGATGACATCAAGCGCGCGTGCAATTGTAGTGGATCTTTATACAACCGCGTTCGCAACCGCTTCGCGAAGGCGGATCCGCTTCCAGTGTGAATGAGCGGTAAGCGAGGTTCAATTTCTTTATTATGCCGTGTTATGGGGAACTTGACTGGTTGATTTGGATCCGTTTGGGAGCGCTTTTTTGTTGATATCTTTGTGCGCATTCAAGCGCGAGCTAGCTTGTTCTTGGTGCGCGAGCAAGGAGCGCTCTCGGATCGCTCCATGTCAACCAGTGGAATTACCCATTAGTAAACACCGAGCTGTGGGGACAACAAGGATGATAAATCGCCCCCTACAGCGCGATCTCCTGCCCAATAAGTGTGATATTTAGTATAGGCGGTTTGCACGTGACGTCCTCGCGTCACACTGGAGGTCCTGTCTACTTGTTCTTGCATATGACAACATATTTGGTGGTACGAAATAATATACAGATACGCGCTCAGTGGCAAGGCCGCTGATGTGACGTCAGTGTATAAGCGAGGGTGCTGACGAGGTGCATGGTTTAACACACACTGACATATAATAACCCCGCTCCTTGGTACCACGTCAGTACTAAACCAGCTCGCCTGCACTCGCGCTTTCGGCTCAACAATTCTTCATAATGCAGACCTTATTTGGCTGCGTTGTCTTTAATGAATCCCATGATTCCTATCGACCTGAAGTTTTTCGCCCTATGTTTCTGGTCCGGTTCTGCCATATCGGCAACGAGCCTTAAGTCTTCGGTCCCGCAGTCGTCTGCTGCTGGTTCAAAATGTGTTTTAATATTTGTCAACGAAAGTATCAAAGGAAATTGTCCAAACTGACTTGGCGATGATGTTTCTTTTATCGTTAGCCATTATTATCGTTAGCCATTATGGATAAAAATAATAGCCATAGCTAGAATAACGAATTTAACCATTAACATTGAAGAATTCACGTTGAGTCCATGTTTTCCTCGTCTAATAACGTTAGGAAGGTGAAAATTTTACACAGCATACTTAGTCTTATATACAAGAATATAACAATAGCTTGTTTAAATATTTGGCTTTAAAGTGTGTTTCTAAAAATAAAATGGTTTTTCAGCAAAACATATTATTTTATCAAACACACTTTAATGCAAAAGTTTCCCCCTCTCCCACTGAGAGGGGTCACGGTGAGACCCCCTTTCTTCCCGAAGCCTTTTGTGAAGGGATAAGCGTAGATAAGCGCATCATGTGCGTCCCGCGGCAGACGGGACAGCGACCTCGGGAGCCCGATTTTATCGGCCGATATCCGAGCACCGCTGTAAGAATATTTATGTGGGATATAAAAACGTTTTCGCACAACCGCGTAAGTTTGATTTGCAACGGAACTGGTAGGTGGGAGAACAATAATTCGCTTCATTCGCGCACAAAAACGCGTTCCAATTCAAGCTTTTCATGCTGCACAGCATCATTTTTTTTCGGCCAATGTTTTTTTTTTTTTTGTTTCTTTTGTCGCGCATGTGGCTGAGGGCTGCAAAATGTGGAAATTCTCCGCCAAGCACAAGCGAAATAAACCGAAGACGGTATTATCTCACAGGCCGTGGCAAGGTTCGCATCAAAGGCGGTTTTAGAGGTGCTGGTAGTTATATCAACCAATCACTTGCACTCATCTAAGGAAAAAATAACGATTCTCAAGTATGACACTCTTCCTCAGCTACTTTGCGCACTTAAGCGACTCTGCGTTCTTTCTTTTTTTTTTTCCTTTTTCTTTACGCGACAAAAAAAAACACATAAAAAACATTGGTCGAAAAAAAAAAAAGAAGCTATACAGTATGAAAGGTTTGAATTGAAACGCGTTTTTGTGCGTAAATGAAGCACCATTTCCCGTTACAGATAGAACTTGGGCGGTTGTGCAAAAACGTTTTTTATTTCCTACATAAACATGTTTACAGCAAAAGAAAAAATTGTCGAAGGAAGCGTTGTGTCCCGAGCGGTGCCGGATATCAAGCGAGAAAACCGGGCCACCTAGGTCGCTTTCGCGTCCGCCGCGGGACGCCCATGATGCGCTTATCTACGCTTATCCCTTCACAAAAGGCTTCGGTAAGAAAGAGGGTCTCACCTTGACCAGCCGTGACCCCCCTCAGTGGGAGAGGGGGAACGGGAAAAGTGGCGGGAAGCATTTGCATACAGACTGAAAAATATTTTGCAGGTCGGGCTTTGTTCATAGATGTATCATTGCGCTATCTCAGCACCTGCGGTCAGCACTGGAAATGGCGGTGACCATGCTGATAGAGCTGACTTTTTGCTCTATTAGTGATACAGCGGTGATACACTGCTGCATTAGTTCTAAGTGACACTCCAGTGAGCGCTGAATCAGCGCTGGCGACTAACTGGTGCCTTACGTCTCCAATATACAGAAAGCATTTTCTCAGTGCTGTTCAACTATTAACTGTAAGGTGTTTAACGTACAGCACGCGCTGATAATTATACGAAAAGACGGAGTTACGAGAGCCACCCATATCGAAATCGGCAAGATATGGAGCTGAGATGTGTCTGTGAATCGGTTCTTAATTGACCGTTCTGATAATTTTGTTAACTCGGTAAACTGTTGAAACAATTTCGGGCTTCGGTCAATTAATTGCGATAATTACAACTCGTCAGCTAAACAAAAAGCAGATTTTTTTTTTCCGTCCTGCGCTATTTACAAATTGATGTTGCGGATATTTCGACCCTCGCACAATCCTTCGAGTGACGCCACATGAGGATTCCCGGTGGGTTTTGTCATGTTCTGTGTTGACGGCCTCCAGCGCTTCCTCTGCGATTTTCGACTTTTCTAAGATTACAAGGTTTACCATCGCCGAAGGTCGCATCGATAGATTCACACAAAACACGGTTCGTCACAGGACGGGAAAGGGGAGGGTTGGGGGGGGGGGGGGGGGGGGGGGGAGAGGGCACGCCACCTTTCCTCAAAAAGATATTGCGATTGCGCTGGACAATTCGCAAACGGTAACATACAATGCTTGCAGATCTTCACTTTCACGGTGGAGGTTATGGGAGCATCGGAACACGTCACTCGGAGGTCACGATGGTCAACAAAACAATTCCACCTGCGCCCGCTACGCGTGCACCTCAGCCCCCGGCAAACCGTCCTTTTGTCTGGATGGCTCGCTACCGCGACTTTCAGCGACGTTAGACATTGTAGTTCTTGAAACGTCGGGAATCGAGAGGGGGGGGGGGGGGGGGGGGGTTACACTCGGGGCCCTGTCCAACGGGGAGCAGGGCTGTGCTCCGAGTGACGTCACTCGATAGACAAAGTAAGGGTCGTCCGACCTTCGATTTTTTTAATTTCTTTTTTTTTTAAAATAAAATCTAGGGCGCGATAGAAGAAATGATTTCTTTTGTAGAGTAATTCTCGGATTAGACCCTTTTCAAAAGTGCGCGCCACCTAGTAGTGCCAGTTATCCGAGTCCGCCGTTGTTTGGGCATGCACTTGAGCATACATTGGACACGAGGGCTACGTCAGCGTTCTGCGTGAACTCGGATTCAATCACACGCTTCGTACCAAAGAAATAGCGGTCTCCAATGTTGCTTGATGGGGTTTGGAAAGGGTCTGTTAATTGGCCAAAGTACGAAAGTCGTTGCACCCCCTTTAATGCCTGACAAGCTTGTGACCAAAAATCGATGACTTTGGGCACGAAACATAGTTGTCGGCCACTGTTATCGGAGCGCGAAGATGGTCTGCCAAGACTTCCTAACAGCAGCATTGTGGTAATGCCATGTTTGAAAGGCCCCTGACACGCCGAAAAAAAAGTTTTTTTCATGCTAGGCCTTAGAATGGTGTATCAGGACATCACCACAAAATTGTTTCTCTTTAGAGTTGCGTAGTTCTTTTATTAAAACCGGAAATATGAAGCCCAATTCTAAATGCCCGCCAGTGCCGTGTGACGTAAATGTATACCGCAAGAGGTCGGGGCGGTCAGGTATCTCAAGAAACACTACATCCCAGGCAGACAAAAATGGTTGGCAACATTATGGCCCAACATCCTTGGCCAATCCAAAAATCATTGGCCAATGCCTGGCCAAAGTGCATGGGCCATTCATGGGGATTGACACTGTCCTTTCAGTGGCCAATCTGTGGTTAGTGACTGGCAGGCTGACAAGGCCCAGCACATGGCCAATGTTGGCCCAGACCCATGCCAAACACAGGCAGCCAGCTCCAAAGCCTAGCAATATTGCTGGGCTTCGGAAGGCAAAATAATGTTCTAGCTTTCCCGAGCAGGACTAAAAGATTCCTTTCAAAAGTTTGCACTCTCCCGGCAGAGGTGGTAATACTGTATAAAGGTGTGTGCGAGACACTGTACAAATGAAAGCCCAGCAATATTGCTAAAAAATGAAGTGCTACAAAAATAATTGCTACACCTTTAGGAGTGCAATATTTTCAGCACTGTCAGGACAAGGCAGAATTTTGAAAGGTCTATAATTGGCTACAGTGGTAGGCACCTTCAGCAATAAGATATATCGACATTAGAACAGCAGGTGTCGACTGGACGCCTACATTTGCATATGCTGAAAGAACTAAACGCTGGATAACCACTACACAAATATTTTGCAATATTCATGGGCAACAATTGTTAGCTCCCTCAATACACGCTCACACATTATGAAAGACCCATTTGACAAGGCTGCAGGTGGCTGTGCTCGATTTGCTTTGTCCTGGATCACATTTCTTGAGGTGAGGAAACAAGTAAAAATCTGCTGTATCTACTCACTCAAAATAGAGAGAGTCTGGCCCATGTGGGCTTCGAACCACTGCATGCAGTTAATGGGTCTTTGATATTTGGGACACTGCACATCAAGAAATAAGGCAATAACGAGCAATGTCACAACCCAAACTTGTTTATTCATTCGAGAGGCATGTCGAAAGAAATGGTGGACTAAACCAACAATAAAAAATAGTGGACTAAACCAACAATAAGAAATAGTGGACTAGACCAACAACAAATAAAATATTTTAAACAAAGCAATATCTGGAATGTTCAAAGTAATGGTGAGCTAAACCAGCAGTAAATAAAAAAATTAAGATGAAGCAATATCTGCAATGTTCAACGAAATGGTGAGTTGAACCAGCAATAAACAAATTTAAAACACAATGTGATAATTGGAATGAAAAAATTAAAAGAAAGATGTCTTGAATATTGAAAGTAATAGTGAGCTAAACCAGCAGTAATTAAAAAAAATTAAAATGATGTTCAAAGAACTGGTGAGCTAAACCAACATTAAATAAAATATTCTAAAGAATTTAAGAGAAATGGTGACCTAAACCAGCAATAATTAAAAAAAATTAAACAAAACGATAAGTGCAACCTTCACTTCAGCGCATGGGAAGCCTTTCATTGATTCAATGTTCACTCGGGCGCACAGGAAGCCTTCCGTCGTCTGTTACGTCCCCCACGTCTGTCTCCCGCGCCTGCTAGCCAGGGTTTCACCACCTTCTTTACAGAGGTTAGTGTGGCAGTCCCGACACAGTCATGGTCCTTTACAGAACCTGTAACAGTCATAAACCTTGTAAACAGCTTGGACTCAATAGCCTTGTCAGCCATCAGGCATTTTCAAGCAATCTATTTGCCCTCTGTGGAGTGATATGGACAACATGAGCTTGAAAGTAGAGCTCAGTCCTTCTAGAGCAGGGGTCTCAAACACGCGGCCTGCGACTCTCTGGGATGCGGCCTGCATCCTGAAGAAAAAAAAACTGCCATATGAAAATATCTTGAGTTTGAGACCCCTGCCCTAGAGCAATGATCTTATATAAATGTCAGTGGTTCACATACGTGGCTGCTAAGAGTCATCTTCAAATTGACTCATGCGAAACATAGGATCGGCCACAAGTAATTATTAATCAATGCTTGGCTTGCATTTAATTTTAAAGCCCGAGGAAACATTTAAGGTGACTATTGACAAGATGGCAATGTTCCCAAATTAGCAATACTTACTCAGTATGAGGCTCAGTATCTGTTCAAACTTCTGAAAGCTTCCTTTAGTGCCGCCAGACCCTTTCCAACTCAGCTGAAGGGCTGCTTCGTTGGCCACCAGATCCCCAAGAACCGCCCTGACGCAATCGTTGTGGTCATTTCCCCCTTTTTTCGAAAAGAAATGCACCTGGAACAGAGTGACAGCAACTTGGCAATCATACTGAAATGTCTTAAGAATTACTGCACTCACCAGTGCCTCCATGTTGGATTCCTTTTCCAGGTATCTCTCAATGTCCAAGAGTTCACTTATGTTCGTTGCTGGGATTTTGGGGCAGTCCTCAGGAAGCCTGACGGGCTTCGAAGTTTTGCCGTGGGCCACTAACATCCTCCGAAATTGTTTAACTTCTGAAAGTATCTGGGCGTGGTTGTGAAGCACTTTCTCCTCAAAGGCTAAAAGAAAATAACAAATTTATATTAAAGTTACACATATGAAAGCTTGATTAGATTAGGAAACTCTGAAACATTTAGAATACACACCCAGCTGACGAGCCTGAAGCTTCAACAACAAATTTCTGATGCTGCAAGCGTTGTAATCATCACCTGTAAAAAGTAGCACTTTGGCATATATTTTCAACATTACACCATAACCTGATGAGGAATTGACGTCACATGGTTGCTGCCTTGCTTCAAATCTAGTTCCTACCAGTCTAAATATGTCTGTAGCTAGAATAAAACAGCAAAACGTTTGCAATGTACAAATCTCGTTGGGTAGCATATTGTAACATGCAATTCCTTTTACAACTGTGAGGACAATCAAAATAACACGTCTTTTGTTGATAACACACTTGAAGTTAACACATTGTATTTATCAACAGATTTTGTTCCAGCGCAGTATTCGGAGAGCACCATAAAGATCCAAGCTTTTTCATTAATCCTTAAGAGTGCTACAACAGAAAAAAAAAGCTATGACATCCAAGACCACCATTCTTAAATGTCACACCAGGGCTCTTATGGAACGACGCACCATGCTTCCTCGACAGGACTGGAGCACTTGAGTAGGTCGACATGGTCGGCTGGGAGTCTCTCTCTGCAAATACAGTGCCAGGCAACAAGACAACTTTATCAATGTGCTCTCTTTGAACGCTGCGTTTTAACAGCAGCACAGAATGAGGAGCCATGTTTTGTTTTAAGTGTTGAAGAATGGCACAACACAAAACAAAACCACAACATTCAAAATAAACATTCTCAAGTATTGTTGTACCAGAGCTCTCGTGGAACAACACTCCGTGCTCCCTCGACAGGGCCGGTGCACTTGAGTGGGCAGACATGGTTGGCTGGTAGCGTCGTTCTGCAAATACAGTGCCAGGCAACAAGACAGCTTTATCAATGTGCTTTCTTTGAGCGCTGTGTTTCAACAGCAGCACAGAATGAAGAGCCATGTTTTGTTTCAAGTGTTGAAGAATGACACGACACAAAACAAAACTACAACACTTGTGATAAACATTTTCACGTATTGTCATACCAGAGCTCGCGTGTAACGACACTCCATGCTCCCTCGACAGGGCCGGTGCACTTGAGTGGGTCGACATAGTCGGCTGGGAGTGTCTCTCTGCAAATACAGTGCCAGGCAAAAAGACAGCTCTATCAATGTGCTTTCTTTAAGCACTGTGTTTCAACAGCAGCACAAAATGAAGAGCCATGTTTTGTTTCAAGTGTTGAAGAATGACACGACACAAAACAAAACTACAACACTTGTGATAAACATTCTGAAGCATTGTCATACCAGAGCTCTCATGCAACAACACTCCACGCTCCCTTGACAGGCCCAGTGCACTTGAGTGGGTCGACATGGTCGGCTGGTAGTGTCTCTCTGCAAATACAGTACGTGCCAGGGAACAAGACTGCTTGATCAATGTGCATTTTTTGAGCACTGCGTTTCAACAGCAGCACGGAATGAAGACCCATGTTTTGTTTGAAGAATGGCACGACACGAAACAAAACTACAACATTCGAGATAAGCATTCTCAAGTATTGTCGTACCAGAGCTCTCGTGGAACGATACTCGACAGGGCCAGTGCACTTGAGTCGGTCAACATGGTCGGCTGGGAGTGTCTTTCTGCAAATACAGTGCCAGGCAGCAAGACGGCTTTATCAATGTGCTTTCTTCGAGAGTTGTGTTTCAACAGCAGTATTGAATAAGGACCATGTTTTGTTTCAAGTGTTGAAGAATGACACGACACAAAACAAAACTATAACTTCCGAGATCAACATTCTCAAACGTTGCCATACCAGGGCTGTAGCGGAATGACACTCCACTCCCTTTCGACGGGATTGGTGCACCTGAGTGGGTCAACATGGTCGGCTCGGAGTGTCTTTCTGCAAATACAGTGCCAGGGAACAAGACGGCCTTATCAACGTGCTTTCTTCGAGCGTTGTGTTTCAACAGCAGTATTGAATGAGGACCATGTTTTGTTTCAAGTGTTGAAGAATGACACGACACAAAACAAAACTATAACTTCCGAGATCAACATTTTTAAACATTGCCATACCAGGGCTGTTGCGGAATGACAGTCCACTCCCTCTCGACGGGATTGGTGCACCTGAGTGGGTCGACATGGTCGGCTGGGAGTGTCTTTCTGCAAATACAGTGCCAGGCAACAAGACGGCTTTATTAACGTGCTTTTTTCGAGCGCAGTGTTTCAACAGCAGTATTGAATAAGAATCATGTTTTGTCTCAAGTGTTGAAGAATGGCATGACACAAAACAAAACTATAACTTCTGAGATCAACATTCTCAAACGTTATCATACCAGGGCTGTTGCGCAATGACATTCCACTCTCTCTCGACGGCATTGGTGTACCTGAGTGGGTTGACATTGTCGGCTGGGAGTGTCTCTCTGCAAATACAGTGCCAAGCAAAAAAAGAGAGCTTGATTAATGTGCTTTCTTTGAACACTACTAAACCATGTAGCGTTTTGTAGACACCACACAACACATCTATACATACCTTTTTTACTCGCAATTGTTTCATTCAAGAAACAGCACGTGTACCATTTTAACTGGAGTAGATATTATTAGAATAGAATAATCACCTGGTGGGCATGCGTAAGGTGGCGGAGAAGGCATCGGCCATAAGTCAAAGTCGTTGACTTCTTCACTTCCACTATCGTCGGATAGTACAATCCTTTTGCGCTTTCTCCTAGACCGCTTCTCCATTTCACTGTCTTCAGTTTCTAAGTCGGACGTTTGCTCAGCTGTGTCCAGTTTTTTCAAGGCATCTTCAAAAGTGTCTGTAAGAGCATAAAGATTTACAAGGCATTTTGTGAAATAAAACAGGGACCAATAAGGCCGTTAGTTCAGAGGAGCTGATGCAGCTAAGCCAAGGAATGCATAGGCATCAACAGATGATGCTGTAGAAGACATTGACAGCTTTCATGAACCAGCTTTTAACAAATGTTATTTCATTTTACTGGATGTCAACATTTTGATTACCGTAATTGCCCGATTCTAACGCGCACATTTTTTCAAGAAAAATACGGCTAGAAATGGAGTGCCCGTTACAATCGGATACGAAACCGAAACAAAACCGAAATCACGCTGCCGGCAGTCTCACTGTCATCGCTAATACAAGATGGCGGCGTAGCCTCTGCTCTAGCGATTTGCTTTGTTGTCAGTTGTCAGCGTTTGCGGAGCTGAAATGACCGCCGCACCAGCTAAGGCGCGGCGTTTTCATTACGAGGCCGAGACGACCGGCAACAGAGCCACTTCGCGTACTTTCGGTGTGCTCGAAACTTGTGTTCGTGACTGGCGAAGGCAAAGAGAAAAGATCTTCGCAGGCAAGTCGACCCGGAAAGGATTCAAAGGCCACGGACAGGTGCTTTTTTGAGAAGTGCGGAATTTCGAACTCGCTGGACGGCACCGAGGACGACATGCTGTTGCACGTGGAGAGCGACAAAGAGCTGTCCGAAAGTGAGGACGAGTGTTATGCTTACGAGCGCAGTGCTTACATGTAGATGAACTTCGCTTGTTCTTTGTGCACAAGCACCGATTTTTCTTGCGCATGAAAACCGGGTGCGCGTTAGAATCGTGGGCACGTTAGAATCTTCATTTTTGGGCATGAAAACGGGGTGCGCGTTAGAATCGGGTAATTACGGTAACACCACAACGGTCCCCTCATTACAATATGGCTCTTATTCCACCTCAGACATACATTGTTGTGTGACGACAGGCCCTCCCCTATCGACTTCCCTTGAAGCAAAATGCATGAGAACCTAAAACTTACTTTTTGTGTGCAGAATCCTAATATCCAGTTGCTCCCATGTACTTTGAGTAGGGGCCTTTTTCTTGATTAGTTTACAGATGGTTAGTTTCGAAGCATCTGATGGCCATAAACAAGTTATTTTTTCTCCTTCCTTTGCAGTCCACCAAGAGGGCACCACATATGTGCTCTTGTCTTTGAGAAATTCCACTATGTAGTAGCTGGAAAGTGGCAAAAGTCATTCAATAGCATTGTAGAAAAAAATGCTGTCGTTTAGGCAACATGAGTCTAGTCTGCCAGGGCTCAGTGACATTGTCACGCGCTGGAGATGCGAAATTTCGCTAGAGCAGTGCCACCACTAGCCTAGGGTCTTCAATGTGCACCACGCAGTAGTGATTCCAGAAACATGTGCCAGTATGATGCTCATTCAGACTGAAACGGCCAGGGCTGAGGAAAGGCATCACCTTACGTAAAGTCTGTGTGTGTGTGTTTTTTTAACGTTGTAGACAAACTTTACGATAGGCAGTGCTTTTCGGACAGCTCAAAGGAGATGAAGCAGAGGAAAGAATGCTTGCTTTCCTCTGAATGGAAAAAGCATCCCTTTGCAAAGAATGTCCGCAGAAGAGAAGGTTAGCAATCTGCTGTCTAGGCACGACACTAAGAATATTGACAGAAGGGAAGACCGACATGGATAGCGGTATAAGTCTTGCACATGTTTAAACTCATGTCCTACAAGCAGTACTTCATCCCTGTGTGTTAAAACACGGCCTTCAGAAATTAGGACACAGTTGTCTCGCCCCTGGACATTCAGTTTAGAGCCCTTTAACAGTGCCTTGGTGAACTGCTGATCACAGCAGATCGCCAAGGCACCGGTGGGTCCACTCATGTGACAAGATGATGGTACCACGCAGAATTCACCCTGGGTGGAGGCAGCGGTATCGAGAGTGTGGCTTACAGCGCACGCCCTCTCCTCTAGGATCCTTCTGTGTAGCTGCTGAAGTGGCTTATTGCCTGATCTGACAAGGGTCTTCAGCCTCCCCAGGTAGTTCTCAAAAGGAAAACAGCTGAAGTTGTCAAGGGGTCCCAAGAGGCGACAGTCATTTGCGAGGTGAATGAGCAGATGCACATTGTACACGAGTGATGTCTTTCCATAAATTACAGAGCATTCCCTTACAAAAAGACGGAGCAGCTGCTCCGCATAGTCCAACATGTGCACCATCGACGGGGATACAAGAATGGCAATCCCAACATGAAGTAGAAGAAAATGTTTGTAAACTTCTGGCTTCACGACTTTTCTTAATGTGACAGGACCCGCATAAAGCAAAAAGAAACGAAACTCTGTCGCTTTCCAGCGATCAAACTCTTGGAGGCCTCGACATTTTCGCTGAAAATCCGTGGCACTGAGCTTCCCAAGTAGAGCAAGCTCACGAGACAGAGCTGAGACTGATGTTGAACCAAGTCGAACAGATAGGGGTCCTCTTAGCCACAAGCCTATCAGTTTTCGAACCACCCCGAGGCAGACACAGTGCATATAATCAATGGGAAATCTGCTGACCATGGACACCCCGATTGTTGCCAATGGAGAAGTCCCTTTGTGGTGCTCCTCTTGTAACTGAGCCTTGAATGAGTCGTCAGTACGCAGAGGAGCATTCAAGTTAGGAAAAGTCATGCGTCCATAATATACACCTGATGCGCAACACTTGTCACATCCATAGTACCCTCCATGACCTTTTGTGCACTTAACAAATGCTTTCGCAGGAGCATCACAGAGTACTGCTCGCACAGTAATGGAGTAATGCATCCCTTGAGAGTCCAGGCCACTCTGTAGCATGCACTCAAGTTCTTGAACAAATGGATGAAGATATTTATCCACAGAGCTTGGTTTTGAAGCCCCGCAAAAAAGGCCCACAACGAACACTCTGTCCAGCAGCTTATTTTGTGGGTGGTGAAGCAAACCTAACACAGGCCACACTTGTCTGCTACTACTCTTGAAGAGAGGAAGTCCATCCACATTAAAGGACACATCAAGAGTTCTGGTGTCCAGTGTGATAGATGGCCACATCTGCAAACCATGGCGCAGGCCATCCTCCAAGCCGAAATGACAGTAGTCACCGTTTGACAAGGGCACAGAGGGAGTGCTTTTCGGCGTACCAAGCAGATTACGAGAATTGCTGGGAAGGCCACTTATGCGCCGTTTAAGAACTCCAAGAAGACCGTCCAAAGCTGCATGCTCAATGTTGAAAGATACTGCCCATGTACGAAGATCAGAAATAATATCATGACTGGGGTACTCCTCAGAGAGAGAAGCAGGTGACGTACCAGCTAGTTCTGGTTCGTCAAGTTCTTCTGATGCAACAGAAACATTAGTGAAAAAACTTTCTTCACTTGGTTCACGACGCAAAGCTGCTTGGTTTAGATCCGAAATAGGAGGATAAGAAACATGTTCAGTTCTCAGGCATGCGGTTTCAAGAGATACTTCAGTCTCCAAAATCTGACTACGCGTATCCACCTCTTTCATATATGATGAGGCAGCATACTTAATTAAGCGAAACTGGCGCCTTCTTTTTGAACTTAAATATTTTTCCATTTTTGTCACGTTACCTCATCACAGTGCTTGCATGTACTCCCAAACCTGAAAGGAATTAAAAATGGCTATGAGCAATGAATACTGGGGGCTAAACACATATAAGCCATAGGCGATTTTCAATAGGCGTCTGAAGGCATCTTTAAACTGACTCAATTGTTTCCTTATTTATAATTTCCACTCAGGTACACAAGCTTAACATGCTGATCGAGTATATGCGCCAGAAATTGGGGTAAGCATGGGGTGACCATATTCCTCAAGCTAGAAAACATGACATCCTAGCGGAAAAGGGGAGGGGGCAGGGGAGGCGCATTAAAGTTTGAGATTGGGAGAAAGATTTTAAAAAAATTCTACATGCTTCTACATGTACAGCTACAGTACAAGCTACAGAAAAAGCTACACGATCCTACAACCGTGCAATATCCAGTAACAAAAAAAAATATTTCTACGCACGCGTCTTCGCGAGAGTTAAGATGTTTGTGGGCAAGAACAGTTCTAAATTTTACTCTCTGGGTAAAAATTTTAAGATACTTACGGTTATTTTTGGCAAATATACTTGTAACAAATAGACATAGTTTCGGTTTGCTTCTACTCGCTTGGTGCCTATTTCAAAACTATGTACTCCTGCGAAAACGGGACACGATTCTATATTGAAATAAAAAGACGGGACGGCAGAAGTGGGCATCAAAAACGGGACTGTCCCGGCCGAAACGGGACGTCTCCTTGCTACAACGTCGAGACATGCCGCAATATGGCTGACAAGCGTCGCGGTGTCTCAATATTCACGGACATACACCAATCCACGGCTAGCAATCGTACTTTACTAAATCGATCACATATAGCGCGAACCAACGTCACCACATCTTAAAGGCAGAGTGACCTTATGTAACCAAAATACGAGAAATTGGATTGGGCGTTATTGTGTCAGTTTCACATTTAGGCGGCAAGCTCGCGCCCAAATTCAATGGACGTGACGACGTAACGGCACTGCTCAACACTCTCGAAATGATGCAAGGCGAAAAAGCCTGCAGCCGGGAAACGCACTACTGGTGTGATAATATTCAGCTAAAAATCAAAATGAATACGCACCCCGGAGTTCGTTTTGGAAAACAGTGCGGAAGGAATTGGCGGGAACGACGACGAAACACGACGACACAACCAACACAACTGGCTTTCCAGGACAAGCTTGAGAAAACCATATACGGTAGAGCTGGTAGAGCCGTATATGATATACGGCCAATACGGTTCTGGAGAAAACCGGATAGACAAGTGGATGCTAACGGCTGTACCCTTTATATTAGGTGATAGCCTGTGCCACCTAGCTTAGCAACCAAAACAAGTTGCACATGTCCCTGGATCAACCAGAGCAAAGAAGTAGATAACGCTAGGATTAGCGACACGCTCATACTTTAAGTAAAACACGCCTGCAAACTTTGCCTTTTTAAAATACTTTAGTAAAATAACATTGATAACTGCAAAAAAGTAGTGAATGCGGTTCGTTCTTTCTCAATTTTGTCCTAATTCAGAAACCGAAACTACGATACAGATCAGTGTACAAACGGCACGGGTACGGGTCCGCTTAAAGGACGCATGCAAAGGAAAAAAACTTTTTTCTTTTTTAACAGCTTAGATGGAAAAAGGATGCCATAAAACAATATTACAACGAAGGAAAAAAACTTTGGAGCTATATTTACGGCGCTATACAAATTTTTAGTTGGCGCCGCGGAAAAGTGGCCCTTAATCTGGCCCTTATTTATCACGTGGTGCTCGCGCTCTTTCGGAAGCTAGAGCACTATATAGCTCCTTCGGAGCAGAGTAGCGCAATCTAGAACGCCGTCTCTCGGCGACTAGCGGCGAACGCCCGGAGGTTCCAACTGCGGTCAGAAATGCATGGAGAACGTGAGAAAATCGTTGTTTCTTCAGTTTTGTGGGGATGTGCGGAATGGAAATAATTTTTGACATAATAATGAAACATTTTGGAATAATATGCGATAAGTTTTGTGCCATACAAGGACGTAACTTTTTTTTTAAAAAATTGCCTGAGCGGCGTCATGCAGCAGACGACACGGCGACGTCACACCATTCACGTGACCCGCTCCGGCCAACCCGAAAAGCCCATCTCCGCTGCGAGCAAAAATCGTCTGCTCCAAACGCCATTGCCTTGGAAATTGCCTTCTCAAAATTTGCACACGCATCCGATATTATTAAAACTTTGATAAAGTGTTTAGCGCTTTACTAACTTCACGACAGGCTAGTTTTGAAAAATGTGAACTCGCCGTTAGTTTTTTAATCAGCCGCGTTATGTCGATCTCCATGCATTATCCCATAGGGCGGGCCGCCTCCTGGAACCCTGAGTACCACGTGACTCGCGCCGAGCCGCTCTGTCGGCCATGTTGTCGGCAAAACACGGGGTTCAAAGGATTGCGCTACTCTGCTCCGTAGGAGCTATATAGTGCTCTATCGGAAGCTTCGTATGGCGTCTAAAAGTAACTTATTCATCTTTGTTTGAAGTATAACAAAAAACTAAGATTAATAGGTAACTTTTAGAGCCCAAAAGAAACTCCTGAAAAAGCGAAAACAGACGTGATAGACCTGTGCGCCGGTCAGACGACGACGGCGGCGGCGCCCCGAAGCAGACGAACTTGTGCGGCGACGGCGGCGTGGAGAAACGCGTTGAAGCGGCGTTCGCACAACGCTCAGCGTGCGGCGGCGACGCAGCGCGGCGGCGCGCGGGCCTACCACGTGACCAGCGGCGGAATTTTTTTTCTTCGTTGGAAAATCGTGTTCTGACATCCTTTTTCCATCTAAGTTGTTTAAAAAAATGTTTTTTTCCTTTGCATGTGTCCTTGAAAGGGTGTAATAATCAGATGAGATCAACAAACATTCGCGCTTACTTCGGTTTCTTTCACGGTAAATTAAACCCATTACAAAAAAAAAAAAAAAAAATTTTTTCCGTGTTTTAAGATTTATATTAAAATAAGTGCGCAATACTATATCTCAGAATGCCGATACGCATGTCATGCGATATGTTCAGAAATCGTCAAGAGACAAATGTTTGGCAAGTCATGTTTGGCCAACCAATAGCCGATGTCTCATCTGGCCGGCTTTGGCCCGGATACATGCCAAACACTCCAGCCGACGATGGTTGGTGTCCCACGTTTTGCCAGGCCAGTGCCGATGTCGGGACCCAACCTACGTTGGGGGCCAAGCATTACCCAGAGCTTGGCCAATGGCTGGCCATTGGCCAGGTCTGCCTGGGATTATTCATCATCATGCAAGCATGCCTGCAAAGGAGGCTGTTTAATGCGTTTCTAGCGTTGTCATTTTGTTGCATTTGTTAAATTGACAAAGCCAGCACTCGATATATTCATCTACTCTCGTCTGTTTGTTGGCGATTTGATTCTTGCCAGTCATGCCATACGAACTCGCTCAACTCTGCTACACACAGATAGAGGACCTTTTGGCCAGAGCCTAACGCCTTTACTCCACAGAGTACATTTTTACAGTGCTGTTCGCCTGCTAACTCTGATATGAACATGCACTAATAACAATACGAAAAAAACCACCGATATCGAAACCGACAAGTGTCACCGAATTGAGCTATGTGTCTAGTGTTTTAGTTTCCGTTTCGATCTACTTTCACGAGAAACAATAACATATTTCAAAATTGCTTGATCAATACGTTTTTTTTAATGTTTTACAGAGCAAGGGCTTCCTCGTTCAATGGAAGGGTCTACCAAAGTGGAAAAGCACACTGGAGCCACGCAGCCATCTGAACGCAGCGTGCCTAGAAGAATTGGTGAACCCCAGTAAGCCAGCACAGTGCCGCTTGGACGCCGCAACCCACAAGCTACTTTTCGAGGTCCAAAAGAAGCTGTCCAATACAAAGAGATGTAATGGCCTCATTAGAGTTGAATTTGAGCTCGACCTTTTCCGTTGGATTTTTTACAAAAAGGGGTCAAAAATCGATGGAGGGTGGCTGTTATGCGACGAGCCTGATTTCGAGCGCATGAGATTGCCCAGTGGGTGGTACGTTCGCGAAACCAAGTTGGGTGGTGCTGTACAAATACAGTTTCCAGTAAGAGTTAAGGGCAGTGTCCGGCGCCCGAGGGCTTCCGGAGCGTTTGTAAACGGATTTCCGCAAGAGTGCTTGCATATTTATTTCCTGGCGAGAGGGGTCACCGCAGAGGCATAATGGGGGACACGAGCGAACATGGCGTCGTTGTCAAACTAGATGGATGCCTAATGACAATGACTTTAACAAACAAGCTTGTCAGGCAAATTCACCACGAAAAGGAGCTGCTAAAAAACTCGTACGTAAAGACAATTCAAGGGTATTGTCCTTGCGTCGTTTCTTCCCCTGGTATGAATGAGGTTTTAGAAAAAAGGTTGCGGTCTCTGTGTACAACTGTAGAGAGCCAGTACAAAAAGCTTAAGACACGCGACAAGCCTACCTTTTTGCTGCGAGAACGCAACTTAGCCATTGGCAATACGGTTGATGTTCGTGCTGAAGGGGGTGCCGAGGGTCAGAGCGATTGCGTGACTAGTGAGACATTGATTGGAACTATACAAACCCTACTAGACAAGAAAACGGAGGAAAATGAGCAATATAAGGCAAGAATAGGATCTTTGACTAGTGCAGTTGAATCTGGGCAAGCTCAAATCAAAACTCTCACTGAGGAAATGTCGCGTGTGGTTCCCGATGATAATTTGAACCGGGGAAAACGAATTGGGGAAGGTTGTAAGAGAACCGATAAAAGAAAACTTGAAGATCTGGCAAACAGTGCAGACAGCAAGCTTGAAGCCTTGCTTTCGAGCTTTGGGTTAAACCTGAGAGCCATCTCAGTTGAAGATGGAAGTGGTATTATGCACCGGATTCTTTACCGGGATGCAGAGCCCGCGCTTGTTCAATCCATGATCCAGGCGCCGTTTGACGGCAGCCGAATAACCTCTTTTCGGGATTTAAGCCAGGCCGACCAAGCCATCGTGCGTGACGTTGCTACTCTCTTAGATGAGCACAAGTGCAGCAATAGCTTCTGGCAGGAGCTGGCACGAACCGTTAAAGGGCTGCCATCAGTAAGCCTCCTTAACAGCTACAGGGATTCGTTAGACGAGCGCTTTGAGATAGTAAAAACTCCAGGCGGGGCAGCGGGAGCGCAGGTGTCGTTTTTGAAAGAGCTTGACTACGTCATAATGGAAATGGCTAAGGAGCAGAAAAAGACACTACTGGAGCTTAGTGCCACCCCAGTGCTCGTGAAAATCGAAGGCGATGGCTCCAGGATAAGTAGCCAAACGTCGTGGACAACGCTATCCTTTGTGGTTATTCAGCCAGGAAAAAAACTTCAAAATCCCAAGCTACATCGTTTGTTGGCCCTTGTTTCCATTTCCGAGAACTATCTTTCCCTACGGGAGTCGTTTCGCCACCTCATTGAGGATATAAATCACGTAGCTGAGAGCGGGCTTGCTGTTGTCGGAGGCGTAGCTATTCCAGTCAACATATGCCTCGGATCGGACCTTAAGTTTATCTTAATTGTGATGGGGCTTCAGGCGGCATCGTCGAAATATCCGTGCCCCTTTTGCATCGCCGATGCCAAAGACAGGACGGACCCCGCCTTGCCTTCTCGGCACTTTAACTCTCCACCCCTTTCCAGAACTTTGCAAAACTTGAAAACAGACTGTGACGCCCTGTCGCACGGTGTTCAGTTTACAACACTTTTCACTATTGAACCGGAGTTCGTAGTACCGGACACGTTGCACATGTGCTTACGTGTAGTGAACAGACTTCTAGACAACTTAGTAATAGAAATGGAAGATTTTGATTGCGAAGTGAAAGTTCGTAACCCACGCGCGAATCCTGATCATCTTGCTAAGTTTGTGGAACTTATAAATGGCTGCGGAATGAAGTTTGCTGTTTGGCACGATGAAAGGAAAGGTCGTATTTTTACATCTCTTTCTGGTAATGAGTGCGTTAAACTGCTGGAGCACCTGCCCGCGAAACTTAGAGGTATTTTACATTGCGACACAGAGCAAGCAGTCATCTCTCTGTGGGAGACATTTAGAAGTATTCTACTTCATTTTGAAACGAACGTAACTGGAGGGAATGTAGAGGAGAAGGCACGAACGTTTTTTCGAACGTTTATTGAACTGGGAAATTCCGCCCGGAAGGGGTATGGGAAATCCCGCGTAACACCCTACATTCACATCGTTGCTCACCACGCTCCTTCTAAGCATGTCCAGTTTAAATGCTTGGGATGGTTTTCTAGCCAAGGTCTAGAAAAAAAGAATGATGTGCTAAAAACGCTGCATCACACGAAGTCTAACAAGTGGAATCCAGTGGCC